GAAATCGGGGAATCGGGAAATCGGGAAATCGGGAAATCGGGGAATCGGGGAATCGGGGAATCGAGAAATCGGCAAATCGGCAAATCGGCAAATCGGGGAATCGGAGAATCGGATAATCGGGAAATCGGATAATCGGGGAATCGGAGAATCGGGGAATCGGATAATCGGGGAATCAGAGAATCGGAGAATCGGATACTCGGGGAATCGGAGAATCGGAGAATCGGAAATCGGGAAACGGAGAATCGGGGGACAGAGAACGGAACGGGGTACAGGAATCTCTAAAAGGGGTAATCTATAAAAGGGGGAATCAGTGTTTAGAGTTAGTAAAAATCCAGTTCAAGAATCTAGCCAATCAAATCATGTGCACGGGATCATGTGTCTCCAGGGCCATTTTTCCTTGCGCTAGGTGGTCGGCTAAGAGGAACGGGAATGTGGAGACAAAATGACTCGATTAGCTAGATTCTCACTAATTCAATGCTGGCTTGTTTCCCGAACATATCCTTTGGTTGATCTCTAGCTAAAAGCGTTCAGTTACCAGTTATAGCTCGTGCAGAGTTCAACAAAAGGAATTCTGGACTTTCTCAAGGTCCTCCGCAGTTGTGAGCACACGATCCTGGCACGAAGGTCGAGCTTGCGCTTGCGTATTCGGGTTGTGAGCATCTGAGACTATTTTTCGTTCACATCAAACTACGCTTTCACTGCTCAGTCGACTTGTGGACAAGTCTAAATATTGCCAAAATGCGATTCGCTGTCATGTCCAAACAGACTTCTTTACGCAGTGACAAGTGAACTTTATCTAATTTAGACATTTTTAAAGAGGGCTTAAAATGTCTGCCACATTTTAAATTTCATAACAGGTGCAAGACAACTAAAAGTGGAATTATTAGAATAAGTATTAGGATGAAATCAGTGGGTAGTAACCGATATGATTATGCAGCTGTTGCCAGGAAAATTGATATTTAAAACTAAGAGATGAAAGGTCTAAAAACATCTTACAATCAATCTGTAAGGTGATGAAAATTGCTGGTCCGCACCAGCACAGATATAGCGAGGCAAAAAAAAAAACGACTAATAAAGCACTTAGACACTCTGATTGGTTTAAAGGTGTTTGAAATGACCAGTTGTTTCTCGATGTAAGTGA